TGGGTCTGGGGCAGCAGACATCCATGGAGCTGGCACTACAGGAAGGAGGAGCAGCACTGGAGTCTGGGTTGTGGCGGGGCTGCCTTCTGCATGAGGCACACCTTGCATGGCTCATGGCTTCACTTTAGCGAGCCTTGCCACCCTTAACTAGAAGGCAACTGCTCAACTGTGGGCTGAGCGGAGGTTTCCTCTGCTAGTCTACAAGGGGATTCACCCTGTAAATTAGTATCACACTGACGAAATGCCCTGACGAGTAACTTTGCGTCCATTAGAAGGACTTGTGCGCAACTCAATAATTGATAAGTTAATTATAAACACACTCTCTAACCTAGTGGCTTATAGAAGACTGACGTGTTGAGTAAATGAATAAATCATATTCTTCTGGGTAATGGAATCAAAAGCAAAGTTCTGTGCTTCATACTACAGTGCCAGAGCTCTTCAACTGCCATTTGTATGTGTGTACAGGGAAGTGTGAGATACTCGGAAGAGATTCAGACTCACAGGGCTGCTTTCAGTGCCCTTCCCCCCACCCCCCTCACCCTCAACTAGTAACACTGGCTTCCACTGTGGGGACCACACTACAGGGTTAGTGTTTTTACTCCTGGAATGAGGAAAACATTTCCAACAGGCCTCACTAGCTGAAAAACACTAACAAACTGAGCTGCTGTCTGGGCAATATTTACCCCGAGACTCATCTGGCACAAAGAAACCAAAGCCATATCCATCTGTGCCGGGAAACAGATGCAGCCGTCGGCTCCAAGTCCCCACTCTCCCCTGCACAGGGGGGTGGTGAACGAGTAGGGAAAATCCACAATAACCAGGAGGGCCATTAGAAAAATTAGGCCTAATTCAAAGCCAAATCGAAAATTCAGGCAGTGAACACCATATAATTCAATACAATGGTTTTTCCAAGTTGCTCAGAGCAACTTCTAGTTTCTTTAAAAATTAGAAATTAATACCAGTGTCACCAGTGTTCAAAAACACACTGGGCCATGGTGTGGCTCAGCAGAGGAGCACTTTCTACCATGTAAAGCCCTGAACTTGAGGCCCAGTACCACAAAACCACAAAACTACCACCACCAACAGAGAAAGCCAGCAGCAGAAACCAGGCAAGCGTGTAGACAGAGGCCATGGGAGATTGGGCACCAGCCTCCTCCTGTGAGGATTCCACAGAGAAGAAGCATGCACACACCCTGCACCCGTCCTTCTCTAAGTGCATTCTTCCAGAACGGTTCCTTGGAAAGAAATCTTGTGAAAAAGAGGGCTGCTGTCACTGCACGGGTGTGAGCTCACATGCCCACAAGCCCAGGGGCTGCTGCCTCTGCCCACACTGCCTCCACAGACTGCCTGACCTCAAAGCTGAGAGATGTAGAAGGAGGAGGTGGGATCTAAGAAGTACAGAGTACCAGCCATGGCCACAGACACTGCAGACCTTTCCAGGCACCAGAACTCCAGTGGTGATGTATCTGACAGCTTGGGAGCTGACAGTCTTTTCCCCTAGCTCTACTTGCCAGAACTTTGCTTCCCCCTTCCAGAATCACTAAAGGATCTGAAATTGCTCTTGGCTTTTTTATTTTTTGGTCAGTCGTGGGGCTTGACCTCTAGGCCTGGGCGCTGTCCCTCAGCTCTTCAGCTCAGGGGTAGCACTCTACTTGAGCCATAGTACCACTTCCTGTTTTCTGGTGGTTTATTGAAGATGAGTCTCACAGACTTTCCTGTCTGAGCTGACTTTGAACCCCAATCCTCATATCTCAACCTCCTGGATAGCTGGTATTACCAGTGCCCAGCTCACTCTGGGCTTCTTGAAGCAGCTACATTCCAGAAAGGCTTTTGTACCGAACAACCATTCCTCACTGACTGGGAATCAAGTTGCTAATGTTCTCAGAGGCCTCTCTGCTGCAGGGTTTTCTGCTGTTTTGAGCAATTCCAGGGCTCTGAGAAGCTCTCCAGCGTTTTCACAAGTGAGGAGAATTTCATTTATTACTAGTCATTATTGACAGGATACTAACAATGATGTAAAGTACTAGTATCATTTTAGTACTAAAACACATAACACAATTTGAATGTCCATTCCTCATCTATTTATATAGAAAATTATCATCACTTGAACTCACCAAGCTCACTGTGCACGTCTTATAGCCCTTCTCACTGCTACATGAACCCATGTCTCTCTTCCAGCATTAGTCAGGTGGTTAACACACAGCACACGGTAGTCAGCATCCACTGACAGGCAGTACCAGTCACTAACCAGTGAGTAACTAATGTGTAATATGCATACAATTGGGATTCATTAACAATGAGACACTGGAACTGTAATGGATCCTTCTGAAAGTCAGAACCACTCAATAACCCAAAACCTGGTCTCCAGGAGCTACTTTCCTAATCTTCTCCAAGAGGGTAAATATTAAAAAATTCTAAATATTTCAGGTGAGCAGTAAAAAATAAATAATGCTTCTATTTTCTGAACTTTCCATCTTAAGTGACACCCTGAAGTACAGAGAGGGGCCTCCGATTCTGGTGGAGGTGTGGCAGAATGTGGCCGAACTCTAGGAGCACTGCATTTCTAATTCTAGACATTCTCCACTCAGCTATCCCACCTTATGGTGAGGACCACGACCATTGCAGTGTCTCCACATCTGTGTACGGGACGGGAATGACCACCATGAGAGACGTTAGGCCTGGCTTTCCAACACGATGCAGGCTGAGGCAGTGCTGCCCAGCACGGAACGGCCTCATCCAGCTCACCCCAGCCTCTGCACTATGTCACTCCCTCCCTGATCAGGATGCAAACCACGTGCTGCTAAATACAATCAGCCATCAAGTGCCAAGTGCTTCAGAACCAAATTAGGAAATGTGTCCAAATGCATAGAATGATGCTAAGAGCCCTAAGTGGATCTCTTTCTTCCTTTATGAGGCACGAGACACATCGTCATCATTATGCTCTTAAACAAGGCAATTCAATCGGCAAACTCCACTTCTGAGAGCAAAAATTAATTCCTACAGCAAAGAATGAATAAAGATGCTATGGTACCACAAACACATTTTCATAAATGAGTATTGTTGACAGACCCAGGAACACATTTCAGAGGGACGGTTGGACATAAAGGGCCCCAGGGAGCATTCACACTGGCCTCGCAACCGCAGACAGCTACTTCACACTTGTTTTCTTCAGCAATCCCAAGCCCTCTCTCCATTAAGGTCATGTGCGCCACTGAAGCCAGAGAGCACAAGCATGTAACACTTCCAGACTCATTTTTATCTAAAAGACCTACCTCCATGCAGCCCAGGCCAGTTTTAAGCTGCAATCCTCAGATCTCAGCATCCTGAATAGCTAGAATTACCAGTGTGAATCACTGGCACCTGGCTTTACCATTTACAACAGGGAATTGAGGTCTGCATAGTACTTTGTTTCTAAGTGTGGGAACTTGGCCAGGAGATGTGCAAGAACCCAGCACGCAGAGAAGGGCAGCAGGTTGACAGGTGCGGAAGGAGTCCTCCCCCTGTGCAGCCATCATTCCTATGAAATATATTAAAAGAACCTTTAAAAATCTGACCTTTTAGTTGGGTGCTGGTGGCTCACAACTGTAATCCTAGCTACTCAGGAGGCTGAGATCTGAGGATCATGGTTCAAAGCCAGCCAGTGCAGGAGACTCTGTGAGACTCTTATCACCAATAAACTACTCCCAAAAGCTGGAAGTGGTGCTGTGGCTCAAGTGGTAGAGCTCGCTTTGAGATAAAGAAGCTCAGGGACAGTGTCCAGACCCACAGTTCAAGCCTCAGTATTGGCAGAAAAAACAGGCAATCAGATGGGAAGGTGAGCAGCTACAAAAAGGAGAGTTGTACAGAGGAACCCTTGTCAAATGGGTACTGCAAGCCAGTCACCCATGAGTGTCTGGTGTGCTCACAAAACATTTATACGACTGAGTGATTTTGTCAGCTTCCAAACCACTATTTAGAAGCAATTGCAGTAAACTAACTTTAAGACACCAATAAAAACACCAGGTAGTAAGTTATTAGAAGAGCTATACCTTTTTTTTTTTTGGAGGCAGTCCTAGGGTTTGAACTCATGGCCTAGGCTCCATCCCTGAGGTTCTTTTATTCAAGGTTAGTGCCTACCACTTGAACTACAGCTCTACTTCCAACTTTTTCTAGTAGTTTAATTAGTGATAGTATCAGACTTTCCTGCCCTGCCTGCTTGGCTTCAAACTGCAACCCTCAGATCTCAGCCTCCTGAGTAGGGAGGATTACGGGCGTGAGCCACCAATAGGTGGCTTGAGCTATACATTTTAAAGCATAAATTCAATCCACGTGCTTAGCTCATTCTCATCATTAATGCTTTTAATTGGGCTGGAAATTTGAGTCAGCCAAAAAACCCTCCTACCTTCATCTATCTGAAGGCTGAGCTGTGTTATTTTCTGCTGAGCTGTTCTTTATCAGTTTCTCAATTGCATCCACTACAACTTACTCGAGGGGTAAATCTATTCACGTAAGTCAGAGAAGCAGGACCTGCCATGAAAAATATGACAGGGGCTGGCAGTGTTGCACAGCGGAAGCCCGGGTCAATCCCCAGTACCAAGCAATTAATAACAGCAACACAACTAAGCTGTTATTATTTAAAATTTCTTCTGTATAGTGGGGATGGAGGGAGGAGAGAGAGAAAAAACATTATTTTTTTGTTGGTTGTGAGGCTTAAACTCTGGGCTCAGGCACTGTCCCTGAGCCCTTCAGCTCAAGGCTAGTGCTCTACCACTTGAGCCACAGCGCCACTTCTGGCCTTTTCTGTTTATGTGGTGCTGAGGAATTGAACCCAGGGACTCATGTATGCAAGGCAAGCACTCTACTGCTGAGCCACCTTCCCAGGCCAGGAATTACTTTTTTAGTACCTAATTTTTTTTACTATGTGGACACACACTGCCCTAATACATATGAAAATAAAATCAAGTTTGTTAAATTGTCTCTTTAAAAAAAAGTGTTAATTATACATCTTGCTATTTTTGTACCTTGTTTCCTTCATACACCCATCCCAGACTCTTCACGCCAAAGGCAACCTGGCTGTCAGAGACGTCTAGACAAGTGACGGGCTGGCCATAGACATAGTGGAGGGTTCTGGCTGAGTCTTCGGCTTTTAACAGGTATACCAGATCTCCAGCTGCGGCTATTGCCACAGGGTACCGTCCTGTATCTGGAACTATTTCAAGGTAGTCAACCTGTCAAAGGATAAGAGTTGTTAATCTGTTAAAGTTGTCCTGACTTGGTCACAAAAATAAACTCTTCCTGCACATTAATGGGACCAATAGTTCAACTAACAAAGAAGGGGAAAGGAATGGTTCACAGAAATGAAACAGCACCTGCCCAAATGTAACAGAAACACTACACACTCCTAAATGGAAACCTACCTGGTGAAAACTCACTGAAATGCCATTTTGCTCCTGTCACATCAGTGACAGCCACAACGTCTGAGACACCCCAAACTATAGTTAACAGGGTCTTATGTTATGTACCCCACTTACTGATATGGGGATGAATTCCAGTCCACTTACAGGGAAATCTGGCAACACTTACTGCATGTACATTCCAAGCCAGCAAGTGTGATCTATACAGTACTCATGAGTAAACTCAAACACCTGCAAAATGTCTGTGGAGGAAGTTATCTCGCTAGGGTACTTTTTGTTATAGTTTTAAAAACTAAAACAGGAAAGTCAGGGTTGGGAATATAGTTCAGTGGAGGAGTACATGTCTAGTAGGCACAAAGCCCTGGGTTCTATCCCTTGCACTTGAATAAAACAAAAAAACTTAAAGAGTGGGAATGGAGCCTGGTGATAATGCACCATCCTAACATGAACAAGGCCCTGGGTTTCTGGGCAATGCAAGCGCACGTGCATGCGCAGACACCCCCCCACACACACACAACACACAACACACCCACACACACAACACACACACACACACACACACACAGGAACTGGGAAAACAGAAACATCTACTACCGATTACTAACAGACTAATACGAAGTACACATATGTAAGGAATATTGTGCTGTCACCAAAGAAAGCATGAAGACTTCTGTATAAGCTGATGCAAATGGGGTAATCTACCAGATAAACTGGAGGGTGTGGGGAAACAGGCAAGAGGATGTGGGTATGCTGACATGTGATATGAGAGGACAGATGAAGTGTGCTCTGGACCTGGACACACATAGGACTAACAGTTCCTGCCTTCAAGGAGGGAAATGGGTTGAAAGTCACAGTGAAAGGAGAATTTCCCACTATTATCCTTACTGCATACTTTTATTTCTAAACCACAAGGGGATAATAGTCCCCCTCCCTCCTTCCCCCCCAAAAAAGCTTTACTCAGCTGGGCACCAGCGGCTCATGTCTGTAACAGTAGCTATTCAGAAGCCTGAGATTTGAGGATTGTGGTTCAAAGCCAGTCTTGGCAGGAAAAAAGCCAGTCTGGGCAGGAAAGTTCATGAGATATCTCTAGTTAACCACCAAAAAGCTGGAAGTGGAACTGTGGCTCAAGGGATAGAGCACTAGCCTTCAGCAAAAAAAATCTCAAGGACAGCACCCAAGCCTTGATTTCAAGTCCCAGGACAAGTGCTCTCTCTCTCATACACACACACACACACACCCCCCACACACACACCCCACACACACATTTTTACAGGAAATTTAAATACAATATTAGCAAAGCATATGTTCACAAGTGTACATTTTGTAAACACACAAACGTGTTGGCAAAAGGTTAAACACCTCAAGGTTGAGTGTTCCCTGGGTGTGTGTGCCAGGCAGTGATCCCACAGAGGTGTGCTGGCCCCCCCAAGACAGGAAGGGCATTGCACTTGCTAGCACTCTCTAGTTTGCCCTACATGAGGAGCACTCTCCAGAAGTAATTTGCTTTCTCTATCCACGAGCAACAGCTTATGCTAAGTGTTCACCTGCCTGAGTAAATGATAAGAACATGGATGCTGAAGGTGAGCCACACTGTAATTATGAAAATCCACAGTGTAAAAGGACGGCAACGCCCTGACAGTGTGCCAAGCAAGTTCAAAAGCCTGAATCCTGCAGGCTGTCCAGAGGAGCTTGAGAGCAAGCAAACATCCGGGTGAGTCCGCTAATCCTTGGGCTCAACTGTGCAACTGGCAGCCCAACATCCCCATCCCAGGCTCCATCACAAAGGAGGGATGCTCTAGGCTAACACTGCAAACCTGGGAACACTGCCACTGCTATTCAGGGAGAGTATCTGGGGAGACAGAAATGGTCCAGCTCTACGGGCCAAGGGCTGCCTGTGGCAACTCCTCACCCTGGGCAAGAAAGAATACATAAAAAGTGTTATTAAATACGTCTCCACCAATGGCTGCTTACTGCTTCTCCCTGCTATAAAACTTGTTTCTTATTTTTCTAACATAGCATCTTCAGAAGTTGGGCTTCTGACAGACCAAGAAGCTCAGGTGGACAGTGGTTGTGCCATTTGCTGGGAGCTGTGAAGTACTTCAAAAGCTTCCCGTCTGGCCAGGACGCTGCTTTATTTCCAACAGGACTGGCACTTCATAGAGATGGACTTTCATCTCAAGTAATGGCCTCAGTTCTTCTGCTTACAACTGGTCTACAGCGCCCTTCAGCTGGAGCCCACAGAAGAAGCACTATGCTGGTTCTAAGAACAAGCAGACATACTATACATTCACATTTGTCCAGTGAAAGCCAGAGGTGAGAGGAAGGGGTGAGGGAGCCCTCCATGGCACCTACAGTGGATCAAGAAGCTCAGGGTGGCGAAGCAGCAATGTCAGGTTACCAAGCAGCTTTTAAAGTTCTTCAGCTCTAATAAAATTTTCACCAAAGAGAAAGGGAGAGAAGTAAAGACTGGCTCCATCAGTTCACTGTTCACGGGTGCCTTTTCTGTTCACTCTGCTACCTAATGCCAGGGTCTGTCCATTTAAATCCAATTTCAGCAGAAACAGGTGTGAGCACATCCTTTCTACAACCCCATCATCTCCCACCCCATGGAGTCCACACAGCTAAATGCTGGCATGACTCTAGGGAGTGGGTGCTTAAGCATCTCGCCTAGCAATTAACACTGACTTAACTATTCTCACTCTGGACTTGCTCTAATTCCAGGCGAGACAACCTTGGGTAGAAGATAGTGCAGAAGGAAATCCCTCTATAGGGACTGGGTGATACCAAGCTCGTTTTCACTCAGTCAGGCCAGAAGTGGATCTCAAGACTTTTAGGGAAGAGAGTCTATATGTTTGGCAGAGACCACAGGGATGAGAAGCCCTGAAGTCAGCTCCAAGGTCTGAATGTTTGATTTCTGTAGTGCTGAGAATGGAATATAGGGCCTTATGCATGCTAGACAAGTGTTCTACCACTCAGCTATAGCCCCAGCCTGGCCCTGAGGGTTTGAATGACAACTTAAGCTTAGAGACCTGGGGCAACTCAGTTCCCTGCTCTGAGTCTCTCTCAGATTCCTAGTATTTCACAGGCTGTTGTCAGATTCACAGATTTCAGGTGCCCCAGAAGCCTGGGTGAACTGGGGACATCACTGCTTTACATTTATAGTAGATCCAGAGGTTCTCAGAACTGAAAATAAAATGGCCAGATGAAAAGCTCACCAGTTTCTGAACTTCAAATTCGGCAGCTACTTGCCAGTAGCCCTCGTCATTGGGGTACAACATCACGACATCAAAGGCAGAAGCCGTGGCAATAGTGACGTCATCCCGGCTGAGGGCTAGAGCCTGAATCCTTGCATCATGCTCAAAACGATGAATGGGGTACTTCCCAGTCTTCAGGTCCCAAATATTGAGAAATCCTAGGAAGAAACATAGATTCACTTAGCCAGCACAGCTTTGTGATTTTATCTTTGGACTTCTCTCAGAAACAACAGTATGGAGACGGGAGTCTGTGGCCTTTGTCTGACTCCAGCTCCATGGCTCTCTAGCAGTAGTACATATGGGAGGTACTTCACAGCCGTGAGCTCTCTCCTCGCAGTAACACTTAAGATGGAGTCATGCACTGTGCAGGACTGCTGGGAAGGCTAGAGGAGACAAGCCAAATAAAAGGCGGGGACTGCCCCCATTATTGCTTACCCACAAAACAAATCCCTTTTTCCTGTAAATTTCTGTCATCCAGAATAAAGCTTTTTACTACTTCTGACATTTTTTTCTCTCGTGCTTTCTACTTTGTCTCTAAACTGAAATTTGAATTTAGGCTGTTACTATAAAACAGCACTTAGTACACACACAAAGGGAGAAGAAAACAATAAACTGAAGCCATTTTGCAAGATTCAAGCTGTCAGCAGGCAGCAGGTGATTACAAACAGAAGCAGAGCTTTCTTCCAGTTACATGTTCAAATGTTAGACATAGTATACTATTCTGAGAATTATGGGAAAATGGGAGGGTAAGCAGATCACAAAAGACACCTTCCCCTGGTGAATACTTGGGAAAATTCTTTCCATTCTGACTCAGAAAAGAAAATGCCAGAATCTCAACTCATTCAACAGGAGACAGGGTATCGCCTCCAAGATGTTCGCCTACCGTTCTTCCCAAAACTGCTTTGAAACATAGCCACAAACAGTAAAGAGAAGCAGAAACTGCTACTCAAATGGCCCTTGTATGTGTGTGTGCATGCACACACACACATGCCTGAGAGGAGCATCCTTACTGTCATTTTGCATGAGAAAAAAGCAGATGCTCTAAGTGGCTCAAGAGCTGGTTGGAAACCACTTGGTCCATGATGAGGCTGAGCTGGAACCGAGCTAGACTGAGCTAGAAAGGGGCCCAATGGGTAGCTGTATTTACACGTGCCTGAGGAGCAACGGACAGACATGCACCGCAGACTCCCTGCACTCTGCCAAGCGCGGAAGCTATTTAGCTACAGCCCACCGGAAGCACACATGGAGTTTATCTATAAACACATTTTTCATTATTAATCAACTACTAGTTCTGTCCAACAGAACTGGATGTAACAAAATATACTTCACTACAGAGTTGAGTTTTACAGACATCCTAAAAACGATCCTTTTAGGCTGGGGTGCGGGAGGGGGTAGCTGAGGAGGTAGGAGGGAAGGAATGGTAGGGGAAAAACAAAGGAGGAGGCAACAATGCTGGATAAGGAATGTACTCATTACCTTGCTCATGTAACTGTAACCCCTTTGTACAGTATTTTCATAATAAAAAACAAAAAAAGGTTCTTTTTCTGTTGGAAAATCTGACTTCATGGTAAAGTTCCCTTCGCAACTCCTCCTGGTCAGTGCAGGTGACTGCGCAGGCCCTCATTGGTCAGTGGGGTCACTGCAGTCTTCTCACATGGCTTTTGAGACAGAAACATTTATAATTGATAGTCTTCTTGAAGACCTACGTATTACATTTCATGTCTTTATGCCTGGTTATGACCTCTGCTCTGAAATCTACTGTCTGCACAGAAAGCACTAGGGCTTTCCAGCTTGCTCTGTATTAGCACTAGCTGGTGACTCCTGCCCATTTTTCCCTCTTCGCTTGGGTCTTTCTATTTACCCTAGGGTCCTTATAGACTTGCCTCAAGCTGCAATGTTTAAAGTGTTTGGTGTGACTCTTGGTGAGACTGGTTCAATCTGTCATTTTGCTGCTCATTTTCTATATGTCCTTTCTGCTCTTTGCTCCCCTGCCCTTGCTAACTTTTATTGGATTGAGTATTTAGGTTGCAAACATGTTTATTCCATTTTGATTCCTTTGTTGACTTATAAATCAAAGTGCTTTGCTGCTACTCTGGCGGCTTTAGAATGTTAACATGCATCCTCAGTCAACAGCCTACTTTTCGGTGGTAATAGAGTTTCAGAGTACCAGCACTTCAGGCAGCACAACCGCTCCCTCCCCTCCCAAGCCTGTGCCACTGCTGTCATCATTTTTTTGTCCAGCATGTTACACTGCACATCGCTTATTCACACAAAAGTCTTTGCCAAACCAGCAATGGTCTTCTAGAGTGGTTTAAATGAACGAGTAAAGAGCCCTTCGTTACAATTTACTCAGGCAGTCACCACTTCTGGGCTCTCCCAGTGTCACTTTCCATAACAATGTAAACCAGCTTCACAAGGTCTGTGATTCCACTGTTAACCATGCTAATGGATCCGGGACCCAAGAGCACAGGGCAAGAGCAGACACAGCAGCTGTCAGAGAGGGATGCTTTCTTTGCTGAAGGGTCATTTTGTAAATGGCCAATTTATTAGTTAATATAGTTAGAGCATGGCTACTTTTACAACCTGTAAATTCTAGGGACTTGAAACTGTAGGGACTTGAACTATCAGGGTATCCTGTGACAGAGTAGCTGATTGTCATCTGTTCAAGGCACAGCTTTTGGCACTGGCAATAACTATAGCAAATAAAAACAAATTAGAAAAACAATAACAACAACAAAGGCCCTGACTGCATGGGTTGATCTTCTAGTGGCATTTACTCAGTGTCTCAGGTGGCCTGAGAATGGAAAGGATAGGGTCCTGACTCTCACAAAACGCATCATTACACTGTAACAGAAAACAGGACAGAGTAAGACCTACAAAATGTAATGGGATGGCTGAGTGCTAAGTGGCTCACGTCTGTAATTCAAGCTACTTAGAAGACTGAGATCTGATGATTCTGGTTCAAAGCTAGCCCAGGCAAGAAAGTCTCCAATTAATCATCCAGAAAAGCTGAAAATGGTGCTGTGGCTCAAGTAGTAGAGTGCTAGCGTTGAGCAAAAAGCTCAGGAACAGCACTCAGGACCTGAGCTCAAGCTCCAGAACTGGTACACTGGTGCACACGCACACACACACTCACACGGTGAAAGAAGTCAATGAATGAGTCACAATCCAAAAAGTGGGCAGAGGGGTGAGAGCCGGCAGTCCACCTGCTCCTGGGCATAGGATCTCCACCATGCAGAGCAGCAGGCAGGCTGGAGGAACGCTGCCCCACCCCGGCCTAGAAGAGTCATTAACAGTGACATGAGTGACGAGGGCCAGGCTTTTGAGGAGGCATAAAGCCTGTTCGGCAGCTGTGGATGGGCACCCATGCCAGTCTGCAGCACGCCCCTTCCACTTCCCTGAGGAGGCCAGCCAGAGTGTGGTAATGAAACTGCACGTAGCGGAAATGGGGTCTAAATGAGCTTAAACTGATTTATGTGAGCTTTTGTAAAGATTACGCGGTGTCTGGAAAGTGCTACCACTGTGAAATAATGTTGACAATCCTTAAGACCTCCGACTAATGGTACTTGCACAGAATATTTATATTCCTCGTCATGGGAACAAGGACCATAATGGACACCATTTTTGTTTTATTAGGGATGCATATTTAAATTAATCTGCTATTTGCCTAAACAATTAGCTGCTTCTGTTTGTGTGCACAAAGCCAAAATTGCAATTAGGCTTCCATCAAAAAGATAAGTCCCAACTAAAACTGTCCCAGTGGAGTCATAAGAGCTCAGGGCAGAACTTTCCAAAATTACTTTTTAGCATAATGGTAATTATGTTAATTGCCTGAAAGGTAAATAACCGCTGAACTGGTTTTGGAAATAAACCACAATTGGTATTGCCCCTCCCTTTTGGTCTTTTCCACGACCATAAAATTTAAAACAGGTTAACAGTCTACAAGTCACGCAGCGGTCCCTTCTGGAACTACAGAGTTTGTCTTATGACTTCGGTGCATTTCAATCAGAGCGGTGAGTGCCTATGATCCAAAGCTCACACATGAGCACCTGAAGACTGGCCTCTGCTCCATGACAGTCAAATAGACAGGATCAATTAGCTGCCTTCGGAGACGCTGAATGGAGCTGACTATCTACAAAGACAGCTGGCAAACTCCATTTTCGCTGTGTAAATAAACATGTGCCTATCAAATTAAGCAGGAGCCAGAAGTTGTGCAACAAGGGAAACAAGCATTACAACAAAAATTTCAAGAATGCCTAACGTTCACTAAGGAGTGCCTGTTCATTCATTAACCACACATGAGCATTCTGAACTCTAGGCTGGAGACCTGAAAGTGCAATTTTATAAAATCTGAGAGGACATGAGCTTTGCTCTCTGTAGGTGGCAGTTCAGAATCAGTACAAATGGGGTTGAGAAGGAGGTCAGGAGGACAAGCTGAGGGAAGCCAGGGCTCTCCTGGACTGAAGGAGGTTGGAGGACAACTGAGGGGATGCTCACTTGCCTGGGGCTCAGCTGCTGCCCATGGAGAGCCCACACGGGCTTGAGGACCAATGTTGGCAAAGCAGAATCCTTCATGGGAAGGAGAGGGTTCTAGCTACTCAGGAGGCTGAGACCTCAGAATCACAGTCCAGAGCTAGCCTGGGTAGACAAATGAAAGAGACTGTCCTCTAATGAACTAGCAAAAAGCCAGAACTAGGGGCATGGTCCAAGTAGAAAAGCATCAGCCATGAGCAGAAAAAGCTGATTGAGAGTGTGAACCAGCATGCCTCAATTTCGGCTGGCTGGCAGGCCAGCATGCACATGTGTACACACACGTGTGCACCCACATGCATACACAATCAAGTTTAGGCAGAAAATTTTCACTGATGTTCTGAAACAAATGGAAAAGTAATATTCTGTGTTAGTTAACGAAGTTTTCATGATGAAAATTAACTTCTACATTTGCAATGAGCTGCATAATGCATGAGTTTTATCTGTGCATTAAATAGCCATTAACTTTTCAAGAGATTTTTAAAAGAAAAATGTATTTACATACATACTTGCCTATATATGCATATATAACACATATATACATATGTATACACACATGGATATACCCACACACTTGCCATTTGCCATTCTATATTCTTTTTTTTTTTTTTTTGCCAGTCCTGGGGCT